CTGCCTGGATGCGGTCCCTGCCTGCCGGTGTGTTCACTTTACCCCACAGCTCAGCATAGGCGAACTCCTTACACAGCACCCAAACTCTATCAGATTGTAAAATACCTATGAGTCAAGTAGAAATATTAAAATATAATAATAAGTTTTCAGACATTCCCATCAAAAAGAATAATGAAGCCTCTGAAAAGCCAATAACAGTGTATACCTGATTATAGCATGATGGATTATGCGTAGGGACCTACCTTACTCATGGCAAGATCAAGCAATTTTTGCAGTTTCCTGGCCTGAAGAGCTGATTTCACAGTCATTTCAATGAGGCCCTGCCCCTCTGTGCTGATTGGTGGGGAGACTCTGGGGGGGAAGAGGGACAAGGCAGCAGCTGCCATTTTAGCTGCTGACTGCCCTTCGTGTGACCTGCCCCTTGGCACTGATTGGTGGAGAGGCACAAGGGGGCAGCTGCCATCTTGGCTGCTGATCTTTGTGCTGCCCCACCAGCCAGTGCCTTCCTCTTTTGGGCATGCTGCAAGGCCGGGCTGCAGTGACAGTAAGTGCCACTGGCTCCTACTGGGGAGCCAGCATTTTATTCTTATTAAGTTTCTTTTTTTGGTTGTGTAACCCAGGTGCACCCAAGTATGTGCGCCCATCTCCAAATAGAAAGGATGAGTGGCCAGGCAGGAGTGCTGTGAGAGGGATCTGCAAATATAGGTCAACTGCAAATAAATACTGGCAAACCACAGCAGGATATCAACAAGGGATTCAGTGACCAGGGGTGGGGTCCCCCTGTGGCCAATCTTGCTGACCCGGGGGGGGGGGTCCCCCATGGCCGATCGTGAGGTGGACAATCACTGTAGCTGCTTCCAGAAGTGGAAAGTGCCATGGCCGCACTTCCCAGTCAGTGCTTTCAGGGGGGACCTAAGCAGCAAGTGCGCCCAGTCAGGGGGTGCACTCATGCTCCTGGATTCAACAAGACAGGGATATATATATATATATATATGTATACACACACACACACACACATACAATATACAACAATTAAATAACAACACACATTAGAAATAACAAAATATAAGGCACTACCTACAAAATAAGGCACCTGCGTACCCTTCAGGGTATCAACGTCACTGTAAGCACTGGAGACTCCCTTTTGATGCTAGGAGCCTTGGCACAGCTCCAAAAGGGAAGAAGGAAGGGACCCCAGTACCTCTCAGCCCCTCATAGGTTTGCCAGGGACTCCTTCCCCACAGGGCCCTCTGCTAGACCCCCTCCCAAGGGCTTCCGCCCCTGTAGGAACCCTTTCCCCAATAACTCACAGCTTGAATGGGCAATGTGGGGTCCTTGTCACCCTAGCCGGGGTTTCTTTCAGCTGACACAGACGTAGACCTCTGGCTCCTGCAGGGCCTCCGATCCCCTCCCAGCCTGTGCCCCACTTCTGGCATCAAGGGCTCTGCCTGCTGCTCATGGCTGGTGACTTAGGCCACCTCCTGTAGCTTTGAAGTCCGGGTCCCTGCCTGGGATGAGCTGTACATCAAGTGTGCACATGAGTCCTGGCCACATGCCAGGAAGTGGTGGACCTGAGCCACCTTGAGTGGCTGTCAAGGTCAGGGTCCCACTGGACTGTGCTGTGCCACGCTGCTGACTTCGGATTCCCAGCCTCATGCTGGGGGGTTGCAGATCTGAGCTGCCTTGTGCAGCTCCCAGGGTCTGAGGCTCTGTGCACCGTTGCATGCACCAAGTGGCAGGAGACCCAAGCTACCTCACACAGCTACCAGGGTCTTGCCCCATGTGCTGCACTACGCACTGACTGGGGCTGAAGCTCCTGTCCAGCTAGAGGTGTCTTCAGGGCCTCTTCAGGGCAACAGCATCCTCCCACTGGGCTGCTCTTCCCGAGTTCTTCTTAGCCCACTCTCTTCTCCATCCCTCAACGCATCTGCCATGTGCTGGGCACGCCGCTCCTTTTATTTTCTCTGGAGGCTCCGCCCCTGGAGTGCTGTTGGACCGGCAAGGTGCAGGCTTCAATCAGGTCTGGGGCTTTTCACCCCACAACCCCTGGGCAGGGGCAGGGGCAGGGGCAGGGGCAGGCAGAGGGGCAGGCAGAGGGGCAGGGGCAGGGCCAGCCCCTCCCAGTAATTATCTGATTGGCAGACATGCTCCACCAATCACAATGAAGCTCCTCCAAGCCTGGGCGTGCTGGGCTGGATCAGTAAGTCCGCCACACTTGATTTCCTAGAAAATCGTGGCCAATTCCATTTTTTTTGCAGCAATTGCAGTGGAGATCACTGTCTTTTGTGGTTTCCATGAAAATAGCAAAACCCCAATTTTAGTAGGTCCCTACTTATGCATCATGCATTGATTATTTTTTCCTAAATGTGTAGTACTTTGTATTGGCCCTTATTGTATTCCATCTGATCTATATGATCATTTTCTCAATTTATCAAGGTCATTTTGAACCCTAATCCTCACAGCTATGTTTGCTACCCTATCCAGCTTGAAGTCACTGACAGATTTACCACTGTCACTCATTTCCATTCTCCAAGTGTATAATGAAAATAAGGATAAAAATACACTCAACTTGAAACAGAAAAGGGCTTCTAGGAAGATCAGGGGGGTTGAACAACCTCCCTTATGAGATGGTCCTAGAAAGGCTTGGTTTGTTCAGCCAAGCAATACAATGACTGAGAGAGGATGTGACGCATATAAATACTTTGGTAGATAAACACCAGACAGTGAGAGGAGCTTAACATAGCTCATCCAGGAAGGAACCCACCCCTGTCCCTCCAATTAGGGCAACAGGGTTACATTAGGCCTTGAACTCCTCATGACCCATCACCATTCCCATGAGCTCAGCTGCCATGTCTGGGCACAGTGAGACTCAGTGGATGAAATTTTGTCTCTGCTGACTACAGTGGGAATTTCGTCTTCGTCCTGAGTGTAATCAGGATTTTGCCATGTCCAAGTCCTGTAACTGGAAAGCAATAAAGTCAGTGAAATTATTTAACAAAATCATAGAAAATGAGGGTTGGCAGGGACCTCCGGAGGTCACCTAGTCCAACCCCCTGCTCAAAGCAGGACCAACCCCAGCTAGATCATCCCAGCCAGGGCTTTGTCAAACTGGGCCTTTAAAACCTCCAAGAATGTGGCAATCATATTCTACAGAAGAACAAGCTTAGCTAAGGACGTGTTCAAAAATGGCATTACATAACTGCTCCCAATGAGAACTATTTCCTCCAGTGACATAGCGGCCACTGTGACTATATGCCTTCAGAAACTCATGGCTTAAAACTCATTCCTTGGAAAGTTTTACCCAAAATATTTTACATTTTCATGACTTGAGTCACTAAATCAGATATAGATCATCTCAGTGCATTGGGAAGCCTGTTTGTTGCTGCTTTGACTTTAAGCAAACGGCATGTTTAATAGCTCTTTGAAACTGTAAGTAAGATGGCACCAGTCAAATATACAGAACAAGCACAGATGTTAATTAAAAGATTTTTTGCTTAATGAATTCAGTTTACAGCAGCATGACTCTTCAGTATGCCTGGAACACAACTTTGCAGCTACTGCTTCTTAGCATACTAGTAGAATGCAAATGTACCAACGGAAAAATATTCTACAGTGTAAATGCCAAATTATTATTTTTAGAAGTGAGAAGGGATAATTCTTTCTCAGTCCTTGTGGCCTTCATTTTCAAAAGTTCTCTAAATCTTCCTCTGCTATTGGCAGCCAGAAATTTTCATGCACGAAGGGTCCCATCTCACAACCCATACCCATGCAAGTAGCCCTAGGGGAATCAGTTCATAAGGCAGAAACTATATTTGAATAATGATTGCAAAATCAGGCCCAGGGGCCAGACTTGGAATAGGGCATCCACACATGCCTGTTAATGTGCAGCAATAAGCTCCAGGATTGCAGCACGTTTAGCTGGGGCAGAGCAGCCCTAGCTGGCAGGGGGCTCTAGGGCTCAGTCTGCCAGCCCGGGGCTGCTCCCCACAGCTCAACATGCTGCGGGGTTGGCTGGCTGGGGCACGAAGGTGCTTCAATGCGAGGCTAGCCAGCAGGTAGCCCCCAGACTGAAATACCCTCGTGCCCCAACCACCTGGGCAGCATCTATGCATGTGCTGCTGCAGGGTTTTTTACTCCCCTACTAGGCTGGAGTAAACTAATTTGTTCCACAGCAGGATAGTACTTGTAAATACTTGTAATAACTTGTAAATACAAGTCAATTGTACTTGCATTTACAAGTTATTGCAAGTATGTACAAGTACTATCCTGCTGTGGAGTAAATTAGTTTACTCCGGCCTAACAGGGGGGCACGTATAGGCTAGTAATAAGCACATTCCCTGAACATATAGGCTAGTATTAAGCATGATTTTCAGAGATGCCTGAGTGCATCCATCTGCAATTTGATGCAGTTTAACATCTTTTAAAAAAACTCAGCCTTATTCTCCAGCACTAATTAATAGAACATTTCTTCTTCTGAATGATTAAGTACCCAGATACAGAATTACAGTCACAGTTGATGACACCTTTACACTCATTTTAACCCATGCATATGATCATGTCAAAGGCATTGCAAATATTTTACTAAACATTTGGTGTGGATAGCGCAATAGAAGCAGGAATCTGAAAACAGCTTTAACTCCCAGAACATCATTTTCAAACGATTCTTTAACATTTCACTATAGCGTAGGCTGCATTCACAGTGCACCTAATAACCTGCTGTTTATAAAGTATAGGTGCAACCCTTCTGCCAGGTGTCATCAGAAGCAAAAGGGCCAGGGATTTTCCATAAACAGTTTGAACCCTTATTCAGAAACCTAGGAAAATTAAATGTTTTCCCTCGGTATCCTTAACAAGCAATGCTTCCCCTCCCACAGGCACTGAGGATGTGTATATCACAAAGGCAACATATTAAGGGGGAAATGAACATAGCAAATCAACCCTAGGTTAATACAGATAGCAAATAAAACATCCAGCCCACTCCAACATAGGCACCAATCTTTTGCCTCACTTTCCTCTCCAGCTGGTGTTAGTGCCGGATGCACAAAAAATTGTGTGAACTTCCCTGCCCCGCAACCCCAGCTCCTATTAAGGTATTCCACTCATAGTTTTCAATCAGTAGTCTGCCAACAAAGTGCCAATGCCCAGGGATGGATGCCAGATCCAAGTTTACAGGTTCTTCATTCATCTATTACATTTACACCATTATTGGTGCATTGTAGTCCCAGATTTAGATCCCCATGAGCATTCATTAAGCTCCATCATTGCACCGCGGACAAAGCTAAACAACACGTGAGCAGAATTCTTGCTGCTAAGAACTCATTCCTGCCCACAGAATAGTAGCCCCTTTCCCC